CTTTTGCTGGCGTATTAATATTTTTCCCGATTTTTCTCTATTATTTCATTGTATTGACCCGGTCTGCTTGGATTTTACCGATTCCAGTTCTTAATTTTTTGTTCCCTGTTGAGGTTGGCAGGATAACAGGACCAGAGTTTACTGTAATTCTATCTTTCAGTTGGGAGAAGTTGGGGACAAACAGAATCAGGTTCTAACCAAACCCAGGACCCATAATGGCACTTTCTAATTTTGTGATTTATCATGGTGACATGGACATGGAACCAAGTCCAAGTTGACAAATCCTGGCGAGGAATGGCCCAAACCATTAGACACAGTTCTGTTTAGTAACCAAGCTGACCCATATTTTTTTTCTATTTAAAGCCAAAAGATAAAAATAAATAGAGTAAAAACACACCAGTTGTTCATATCTAGGAAGAAAGCGCATGACTCTGGATTAATCTGGTTTCCCAGAACTGCTTGAAACTCCGCTATAAGAACGTCTCGGTCAGTTGTTCCCATCGATCTGAACTGATCGAGGAACTTTCCGTCAAAATCATTGTCAATATCTACATCCATGTTTAGACAGCCCCATCTGAGTCAGTAAAAAAAAGATAAATGTTTGTAAATTTTCACTTAAAAAATACTGAGCTCGATTTTAGAGTTCAAGGAATTTCTCAGTGGTTCCTCAGGCTTCAGGATGTCAACAAAACTGAGGTTCTGCTACAACGTTCACCACTGACCGGAAGATGAGGTTGTTGACGGATCTTACGACAAAGCGCATGCGCAGTAAAAGCGAATGCATGGAAAAGTGCTATGTAAATTAGCCACGTGAGTAATTTTATGTTTACAAACAAAATCAAACTGGACATTACAGTCTTAACGAAACAAACTTCGTAATCTACTTGCTGTTCATGATGCTATCAACGAAGAATAAGAAAAAGAAGAAGAATTAAAAGAAGAAGAAGAAAAATAAAACAGGAGAAGAAGAAGAATCTATTTTATTTTTAAAAATTCTACAGAATGGATGAATGAATAAATAATAATAATATATGCACGTTCTATTTTAGAATGAGGTAAACAATAACAATGAGTCGAATAAAAGACAGCGACTTTTTGTTCGTAGCATATTATAGATTCTAGATGGCTAAAATACCAAACAAACAAAAGGAAGTAAAAGTAAAAGAATGACCGAGTAAAGGACTACACGATTTAGGCCTATGTCGCAGCTGAGAAGAGGTGGGGGAACGAGTGTGATAACAGGGATTGTGAAAGTAGGGCACAATAAGTGTAGAATTCTACTTGGGCACAAAGGAAAGGACAGCGAGCTATGATGACTCAGCTATATTTTGCAGTTATGCCCCTTACAACCCAAACAACCTATGAAGCGATTGCATCAGCATTTCCACATCGGATGACTTTTACATTTTATAGCTTTGTTGCGCCACAGTTCTCGTCAAGCAGAGTGGCGCAGTGGAAGCGTGCTGGGCCCATAACCCAGAGGTCCGTGGATCGAAACCACGCTCTGCTAACTTTTTTTTTTTTTTAAAATAAAAGGCTAAAACAGCACCTGGACTTGGATGGCTGGTGCTTCTATAAATATGAATCTTTGATGGTCTGGTTAAGGTCAAGGTTTTTTTCTGTCTTCTGTTGTTACATCCGTTCGAAGTGTGGAGGAAATTATTATGTTTTCTTTCTCACAGTCCATGAAAAATTGCACCTGAAAAGAGGTTTAAAACGATACACTCAAATGAATTTATTATTTTGTCTAACCAAAAATTTAATCTTACAGGGGAGAGGGGAGAAGCGGGCCACCGAGGGAGGATAAAAAAAAACAACCCCGAAATAGCTCAAAAATG